AAAAAAAAAAAGACTAAACAAAAGGACGAAAAGAAGTATAAACTAATTTGCGTACGCAAAGGAAAAACAAATTACGCAAGAACGAATAATAGAAAAAATGTTACACTTGGATCTTACAACCCTGATACCAAGTTCGTCCCAGACGGATAATGCGCCCCTAGTACTAGTGTAATAAAGGACAGTGTCGATGACGTATTGGTTAACTTCTAGCATGTTATCCTTTATCTACCCTCCGTACGCACGGTTTGTTATAAAAGCCTTTACCCAGCGTTCGTTATACTTGATTATTTTCAGAATAGCATCTGCGCATAGAAACTGAAACTTATAATCAGAATAACAAAGTCTTTTCATTTTGTGGCAAATAGCTTACAATGGAAGCGTGGATAAGCCAACAGACAATCACGTGTATGTAAATCCCAGGTACAAGACTGATATTGTAGCAGGATCTGCGGGCTCACATGAAAAACTTTCCAACTGGACCCACGCGCCTGATAACCTGTCGGCAAAATACATCTACGACTATGGGTAGGTTAGACGGGAGTATGGGATGCAGACCAATATCCACCTCTCAAGTAGCAAGAGAAAGGCGTTTCTTCTTGCTTCTTGACAAATAAGGAAAGTGAATTTTAATTTAGTAAACGAATGTGAAAGATATGATAATATAATCAGCATCGATGGCAAGCGTATTAAGTCACCGACAGGATTCGAAGCATATAACGTTCCGAACACTTTGCGGGCGCTCCGCGATTTACTGAGCCAAAGGAAGACTCGTGACTCAAGAGATTCACTTTTCTTTTTTCACGTACATTCCGTTTTTGAACATCTTGGTTGTTTGTTTTTCATAGTGGCAAGTGTCACTGGAAAGTGGACAATTTCCTAAAGTTTTCTCTTTAAAAAAATTCAGGTTGATTAAGTTTAGCTGTTTGTTCTCTCTTTCGAGGGGCACCGACTGTATTTTCAAAGGTACCTTTGTAGGTAACTTGTCCGTTGACCCTTCATATTTCTCCAAAATAACCATCGACGTAACTTTAATTAGATTACAAAGGGAGTGGGGGAGACGACTACTACCAGTCTTTACAAGTGTTACCGGAAGTGACTTGTCGCAGTTTGTAGATGTATTTTGCCAGTTATCAGGTTCATAAACCTGACTCGTTCCCAGTCGTCCCTCATTATTAGTATCTGGCTAGGAAGACTAGAGCAAGCGCTTCCCTAGTAAATAATTAATGAGGAGAGACAATTTGGAGACGACTGGGGATGAGTCAGTTCATAAACCACGCAAATCGCTTTCGATCAATCTTTGGTGATGATATTTCTGACATTGTAAAATTGATTCCAGCTTACGGTGGTAGAGTGGACGACAATCATACTGACAAAAATGTGTATGTTAACCCCGTTTATTTGACGACTATTGTGGCTGGATCCGCGGGCTCAAAAGAAAAACTTTCCAGCGGAAAAGCGCCTCACAAAACACGGGCAAAATACATCCAAGACTACGGGTGAGTGGACCTCGCTCCCATTCTACTAGATGTAAAGCCCGAAATGTTATCCAGGAATCTATGCGTCAATAATTGACAAAGAAGCAAAAAGGGCGGTACGTTTTTATCGTAGCCAAAAAAAGAGGGAGGGGCAAGTAGGTGACTTCAAAAACGTTCTCGACGTGATCACTCCTTTTTGTTCTCATGTGCGATCTATTTGCTTTGCTGTTCATTAAAGTATTTTACCTAGAAAGACTAAACGTTTCCGCGTATTTAATTTTAACCCTGGACTAATGGCCAATTTGAGTTTTTTGTTCATGCAAAATTTCTGATGTGTAATATGATTAGGTCATGTTTTTCACAATTTCCCCTCTGCAGCTATGGTCATCTTCAGGCCATAAACAGGACCCATTTGTACTGGAGCTGGGAGAACACACATGACAATGTGCGAACAGTTTTCCAAGACTACCTGTGGATCATACAAGAGAAGCATGGCATGAGAATGTTCCCTGAAGAGCCTCCGGCCCCAGTAACAACCGATACCGCGGAAAAGATTCAAGTAGTTGAAGTTTAAAAAAGATTTTTACACAACTAAACAGATCATTAAATCCTCTAAAAGTGTTAATTGGTCAGTCTAAGTAGACATGATTTATTAGAGTGCTGCCAGAATAGCTCGCGTACAGCGTGAAATCATATATAAACTCCTTCTTTCCAGCACTGCGTCGTCTTCATAAGGACATCTGGAGATTAGTCTTCCACAACCTCGATCCCAAGGCCTTTCCTGGAAACGAGGTTGTAGTCTCTTACGCAGCCGTTTACCTGCGAGCAAGCTCTCCATTTGGGGGAGTCGCGAGAAGTCAATCGCTCCGTGTCACGCAACGCTGCTCTTGGGGAGGAGCTTTGCGTGACAAGACAAGAGCGGCTGCGTGAAAAACTAGCTGAAGATGAGCTTGCTGAAGAGTAGCATGACAAAAATAATCCATTTTTAGGTTGCGATTAATTTATTTAATGTTTTAGAAGTAAATGTAGTTAGAATGTATGAAGGAAAACCACAAATAATAAATTGTCACGCCAATCTTTATTAATTTGCAACTTAGTAGTCTAGGGATTGTCATTTATCAGTACTAACACAACGTAACAAACATGGACACCTGTAACTCAATCTATTCTTCCTCGCCCCATCCTTGCCTGGAACCAGGCTCCGCAGTGGGGAAAAATGGCAAAAAACGGGGTCTAATAAGAAAAATATCGGCAGACGAAGCGAGTCGAGCGGTGACTACCTCTCACAGCTTGCTTCGCTCGCCGATTTTTCTCCTTTTACTTTTAATGCGGAGCCTGGTACGAGGCTAGCACCATCCTAAGTCTCCAACGTTACCGTTTTTAGGGTCGTCACATGCGAAGTGTTTGGTGTTTTAAGTGTCGTCACCCAACGCTCTGCAACATGACGACTCTAATACTTATGCATTGGAGAGTACTCATCTCCCCTAGACTGCTAAACGTCTAACTGCAATTTTGCCCCGAACTACTAGGGCTAGGCTAGGCTGATGCGGTTGGGTATGCTAAGAAACTGGACGCAAATAAGAAATGGCTAACCTGCGATCAGGCGGTCCCTCTTCCCTCCTGATCGCAGGTTAAGAACGGGCCTCAACAGAGGACTCGTGCGTACTCCTCTTTTGTGCGCACCGTTTCTCGCAAAGACGTTTTTGAGCGACGCACGTCAACCGGAAGTATGGTCGTTTTTCTTTCACTATGCCTTTACGTGAATAAATTTGTATTACTAAGTGTCTTAACTCATAAAGAGAAGATTTGCCTTAGAATTAGGGCGAAACCACTGCGGGAGAATGCAAAAAGTCTAATTCCGGTTGACGTTCGTCGTTCAAAAATGGTTAGCGTGCAGTTCGTTGTGATTCATCTCGGGGCCTTTTTTACTATCGAGCTGAAAACTGACGTTTGCTGGAACTATTGGATCACTCAGTCAAGATTTTTAGCTGATCAGCTTAAATAGCCTAGACTTAAGACTTGCCGCATTGGTAAGTAGAAGTTGTTCAAAACTAAACACAATCTTCTGTTTCAAATTGTTAGTGCTAATTGATTTGTTGTTTTAGAGCTAGTATTCTTGAGGCTGAAAATGAGTTAAAGCTACGCCCGCGAAAAAATAGATTTTTCAGCGTTTTAATGCAGTGCCCCCGTCATTTGTATCAGGGACCTCCTTCTCCCTCACGAAATTACTTTCCTGCCGATGAAAATCGTATCGAAAACAGGAAGCATGGCAAACAGACTTCGTACTGGGGTGAGCTGTTCAGTTTCGACTTTTCGTTTTCTTTTTAAATCACCCACCAAGCCCCCAGCAAACTGCAAGCGTAAATTTACATCACGTGACGATGAACCAATTGCCCGGCTCTTGGCGTGACCAAGTTTTCTCCTTGCTTGTCGTTTACTGTCCATCATCATCTGGTCCATCATATAAACCCAATAATAGACCTTGTCACGGTTTTCGACGCCATCTTGACGAGTAGGCAAACGTGTGAGAAATTACAGTGTTTGTATGAGAATCTAATGTCGAATAATTTCCGTAAGACGGCTGTTCTGAAAAAAATATCAATTGTAAACTAAAGCTACAAAGCAAAGGATTGTCCTAAAAAGTTTTGGAGGCGTACCTGTGCTTAAATTTCCCCGGAGGCTTCCTTTAGATTTTCTATATATTTGTCTGTAATTTTCCCGAGACTTTCTTACAGACAAATGTATAGGAAATTTAAAAAGTCGTTCTAGGTCTTCTAGGGCATGTAAAGCCCTCAAATTTTTTCAGTACAATCCTTAGGAGTGAAGCTTTAGTTTACAAATCTTATTTTTTTTAGAACAGCCGTTCTACGGAAATTATTCGACATTAGATTCTCATACAAACACTGTAATTTCTCACGCGCTTGCCTACTCGTCAAGATGGCGTCGAAAACCGTGACAAGGTCTATTAGTAGTGGTCATTTTCATCCAAAGGGTTATTTTGCACATTTAAATAGCTGCTTATTTCAGACGTTGACAGGAGCCCGATTACTGGTAATCGGCTCCTGACGTCATGAATTTGCCGTTTACCATTAACCTAATTTGTAATCTCTCTTTTATCTATCTTCTTTGTTGAAGATGTTATGTGATGATGTATAGGTATGAAAGTACAAAAAAATATTTTTCCAAATGTAAATAAAATGATGGACTCCCCCCTGGGGCCTTTTCCCGCCCACGTGACTGGACAAACAGAAATAATCAGTTTTGACGCGGTTCCTAAGCAACTCGACTCACATTTCCGCGTACGTGAGGGAATTATCAAAACAGGTTAGTGTTTTTACTGTTTCCTCTGGGTTTTGAAAGGAAGTTTCAAGTCTTGACTTAAGGGCATATGAAGGAAGCCATTTCAAGATAACAAGATTATAAACACAGCCATTTGCAGACACAAGCTGAAGAAATACAGGCTATTTGAAAAATTACAAACATGGAGGAAAAGATGATGTTCGGTATAAATGGCATGGAGCAAAACGATGCAGGAGCTCTTACGCCTGAGCAGCAAGAAAAACTCAACGAATTTAAGGTAAATATTCTGTTTTCTTCAACAAGATTTTTCGGTTAAGAAGAGACAGACGGTTTTTATTATTCCAATTTTTCACGCCCATAGATCAACACAAGGTTTGGAAATGAGAGATACTTGAGGGAACATCCAGAAGTCTCTTGTCTTTTGACTGGTTTTCTTGGGTGAGTTTCTCTTTTTGTCGTAGCATAACGAACATGAAAAGAAGTCTTATCGCATTTGATTTGCTGTTGCTCGACTTTTTCTTGATGATAAGTATTTGAACTTATGAATTATAGTCAACAGTAGTAAGTTTCTTACTTTCGTGATGTGTGTCTAATTGCATGATTAGCGTGTGCTCAGCGCTTCTTTTGATGATATTGTAATTCTCACGTCCTAAACCAAAAGTTGCGAATGTAGCAAACCTGGCTTACCTGACTTGCTAAATCGTTGAAATTTGAAATTTGAAAAGTAAAATTGATCAAGAGTGCAATATTGATATTGGTTTAATAATAAGTAAAAAACAACTATCTTGTTCCTGTTCATGGAGGGTTTTTAAGAGATGGAGAACATTAAGTTGTGATAATTTGTGTTGGTAAATAATGGTAATTGAACTAAGTGGAGTGCAATTTGGTCTAAAAACAACGTGTGATTACAAAATCAAATGAGGCAAGCCGACCAAGGTGTCAAGTATGATTTCAGACCAAATTTGCAGGACACGAAGTTCAATTAACACTTTATTATAGCCAGTTTGAAATCACAGAATTCAGTCAGAACCAATTCATTGATCAAGTAGCCGATTTGTTGAAAAATGGAAACAAAAAGGCTTTTACAACTCAGAAATGATATGATATGGAACAAAAAGTGGTGTGATTTAAAACAGAAGTGACGTGATTTAGAACCGTTGAATGACGCAATTTAGAACTGATGTGATTTAGAGCAAAAAATGGTGTGAATCTAATTGCGGGGATCACAGTTGATTTCAAAATGGGTGTAATAAAAGAAATTATTATTATTTAGTGCTGGGTTTAACAGCATGATGATTCAGACATACAGTAAAAATGATTTCTAGTTAACTAAAAAATTGGCCAGCAGAGTATATCACTAGACCCCAGTTATTATAGTGGTGGACATCACCATTGTACCCTGGGCAGACTTTCAGCCAGACATTGAAAACTGGCCGTCGAGAAGGCTTGTTGTTCTATAAAATTATAAGATATTACGTGAATTTTCCTTGTATTTCTTCCGAAAATGGGCATCCATAGGATGGCTGGACACCCTTCTGGCTAAAACCTTGACTCTGGCTAAATCACTTTTCACTAGATAACACAAATGGTTTCCTTAAAACCAGGGCTTCTGATATTTCGCGGAAAAAAAAGCAAAATTTCGCGGGATTTTCAGGGGCAAATTCGCAGAAAAATCGGCCGATTTCGCGGGATTTTAGCGGAAAAAAGTCAAATTTCGAAGGATTTTTGGGGCAAATTCTAAGACAAATCGGCCGATTTCACGGGAAATTTCGGGGGGAACTTTGCCAAGAAACAATCAGTAAAAAACAGCCGATTTCGCTGGATTTTTGTGGCAAATTTCGCTAAAATCGATCAATTTTGCGTCGATATGACCAGCATTTGTTTAACGTTTTTTTAACAGGGATAATCATTTGCTCTTTCAACAACGGTTCGCTCGAGAAATGAGCGAATGCTAAAGCTGTTTACATTATGGTTAGTGCCCAGTTTTTCGCAACGTTCATCTAAGAACGCCTGGTAGTTTTGAGACGTTGTTTACTCGTTGCAGTGACGAAGTTTCAAGATAAATTTGGATGTTTGGGGTGAATAGAGCAGGTCTAATCGCCAAGATAAGTATTAAATATGTTTTGCCGACATGTATTTGGAAATATTTCTGGCGGATTTCGCGGTATTTCGGGTTTTTTTTGGAAATTTCGCGGGATTTCGCGGAAATACCTGAATTTCGCGGGTCCGCGACCGCGCGAAATAGCAGAAGCCCTGTAAAACTTATCCACTGGATAATGATTAATGTCCAGTGGATAACCCTATCGAATGTTTGAACAACTGGGCTCTGGTCCCCTTTGTCTTTTAATATGAGCCTGCCAGCAAACTGAAAAGCTGGCTTTACACCCCAGGGCCCAGCTGTTGGAAAGCTGATTAGCACTTGTCCAGGGTTAAATTTTAATGCGGGTTTCTTTTTCTTTTGTTAAAAAGCATTTTCTTGGATTGTTTTTCCTACTGTTTTTAGACGGTCCATCCAATCATCAAATTGTAGAGGAAAAGAATAAAACTGAGTTTGCTTTTTAAGCTTTGATATCCAATTCAAAATTTAGCACTAACCCTTGATTATCTTAACTCACTTTTGAACAACCCAGCCTAGACCTTAAGAATTTTAAGAGGACTGATGGTCTTTTTTATCTTTCACATGTCTGCAGAAGTATTTTGCAAGAAAGACCAGAAAATGTCAGAGAATATGCATCAAGTGAGTGAGGTTTCTTTGGTAGTTTCTCAACCACATTAGCCTGTTCACAGGCCTTCTATATTATTCTCTTTAGAGTGTGCACACAGGACTGAAAACCATAAGATTTTACTTACTTCTGGTGCAAGAGGAAAGTGCAAATGAGAAAACATGCTTTGTAGACATCTTATTTTATGAGCTTGGAAATATATTTTTTGTTAAATACAGTGAAACCTGTATTGAGCGGACACCCTCGGGGAATGCTGTAGTGTCTGCTTAATACGGGGTGTCCGCCAAATTCAGGTTTTGATAGATAATGTCATATGAAGTGTCAAATGCCATTCAAATGAACAGTGGAAATGCTTAGAATACTTCCACAGGCTATGATGATATACGTTTGCATTTAATCTTTATTAAAGTGGACCAATTGATCATAGTACTTTAAACATAGATTGCAACTCAAATTTGAAGAAATCAGACAAGTGAAACAAGCTCTATACAAAATAGAAAAATAGAAATAGAAAACAATACTGTACTGTGAAACTAATCAAATAAGTTCATCAATTCACGTTTTTTAATGTGAAAATCGAAAAATTTGTGGGTGACAATCTTTTGCATTTCCGGTGTCTGGCATGTTGAGTGGTAGAATTTAATTACAAGAGTCCGTTTATTAAAGGTTGGCAATAATAAAAATGACCATTTCAGGTACATTGTAGGTGTCCATGTCCGCTCAATAGAGATTTCATTTAAAGTAAAGAAGGGAAATAAATTTGGGGACTTCGGTTACTGTCCGCTTCATAGAGGGTGTCTGCTTTATAAAATTCATGATTTGCAATGAAGAAATCCCCGATGCAAACACAAACTTTTAGCAGTATCTTGCTTTGGGTGTTGCAACGTTTGAAACCCCTGACTAGATGTGCATAAATCTTCATATCATACTGAGCCTTAACCCAGGAATTGCTGAATATCACCCTCCATATATATATCACTGTTCCCATGCATTTCTTGTGATATTGGTGAGGAGAATTTGTTTAATAATGAAGACCTTAGTACCCTGGTCCCAGAGGTTTTTCTTGAAATTTTTAGTTGTAGATGAGCAAGCGAGCTGCAAAGTGGCAAGGAGAAAGAGAAACAAGGTTTTTCCCTCTGTCCTCCCCTCTTTGCAGCTAGCTCTTTCCTTCGTGAAGGAAAATTTGAAGGAAAACCTCTGGGACCAGGGTAAGTCCTTAGGTAGTTACATGGTTTGATTATTCCCTGCTTTCTCATGATCTTAAGGTAAGTAGTGTAATCATGGCCTTGATCTTCAAATAACAGAATTCTGATTACAAAAAACTTATTTTTTTTGTAATGCTGATATTTTTGTTTATGTTTTTATTACAGAGTATTTTTCAAACCCTGACTTACCCAGTAAAGTGGAATTACAAGTTGCAGAGTTAAATAGCAGACTTAAAAGAACAAACAGACCCTAATGGTGATATCACAAATATCAGTGAAATAACTTTTGCATTTTTTAAGCTGTACTTGATTTTAAATATGCTTCTGTATAATATTAACTGGTCACTTTATTTAATAATTAATCTGCCACTGTTGTTAGTCGTAACTTCTCAGTTGTAAATAAAGATTTATTTATTTCTGTGTTTGCCCTTCTTTTATTAGCAGTTTTAGAATAGTTTTCAATTGATTTTTATTAAATCAAAATAATGTTGGTGTTCTTAGTCCAGCCTCGTTCACAAGATAATGAGTAGGAGAGGACCCTGGGAACAAGGTTGTTCTTGGTCGTGTAAAATCCTTGACAAATACTTAACTATTATTCCTCGGGCCCAAATGGGCTCTAAGTTATTTTCAGCCTCATGGGCTATTGATTCAGAGGCCATAAGGGCGAGAGGAAAAATTGTTTTAGTAAAATCTAACTAGTTGGTTAAAAATATCGAGAATAAAAAAAAATTATCAACTTAAGGGTAGACTAGTGGGCTATAACATATAGCCTAGTAGTAGCTCAACCAATCAGAACGCAGCATTGATAATGGACCACTAGTTGGATTTTACTAAATGTAGATACCCTCTAGTATCTGGTACATTGTAATGGTCAGTATTGTGTGGTTGAGATTGAACAAGATGTAGAAGAGTGAATTACAAATAAGCTTTTAGTTTGAGGAAAGTATTTCACCTACTAAGACGTTGTCTTTTGATGTACTGTACCAACAAGTATAAAAGGGTTGTACAATATAACCTATACTTAGTGGACAAATATGGGATCCTTCCTAATGTCTGTTAAAAAGCGGAATCTGTAGCTTGCAAGCAAACTCTCCCTTTTTTCAAAAGAATAAACACCAGTAAGGACAAAAATAAGTGCAGTATGTCGTACTAACAACAAAAATCTTTACTACAATGGTCGCAATGCTCTTAGAGCTGCATATATCCTGTGCAAGTAGCAGTTTACAAACCATTTAAACAGTATACAACATAGTGCTGCATAGCCTTCTATGTTTAGCTTTGCAATAGCTTTACAAAAGATGGCTTATTCACCAAAAAAAATTTAGATGTTTTTCGTTAAAAACTATACAACCTGTGTTAAACACGTTTTACATGCCAAAACTCTTATTCTTAAAATGCAAACTAGACTTTCTAGATAAGTTTCCAGTATATTGCGCAACTACTNCTGATATTTTTGTTTATGTTTTTATTACAGAGTATTTTTCAAACCCTGACTTACCCAGTAAAGTGGAATTACAAGTTGCAGAGTTAAATAGCAGACTTAAAAGAACAAACAGACCCTAGTTGTGATATCACAAATATCAGTGAAATAACTTTTGCATTTTTTAAGCTGTACTTGATTTTAAATATGCTTCTGTATAATATTAACTGGTCACTTTATTTAATAATTAATCTGCCACTGTTGTTAGTCGTAACTTCTCAGTTGTAAATAAAGATTTATTTATTTCTGTGTTTGCCCTTCTTTTATTAGCAGTTTTAGAATAGTTTTCAATTGATTTTTATTAAATCAAAATAATGTTGGTGTTCTTAGTCCAGCCTCGTTCACAAGATAATGAGTAGGAGAGGACCCTGGGAACAAGGTTGTTCTTGGTCGTGTAAAATCCTTGACAAATACTTAACTATTATTCCTCGGGCCCAAATGGGCTCTAAGTTATTTTCAGCCTCATGGGCTATTGATTCAGAGGCCATAAGGGCGAGAGGAAAAATTGTTTTAGTAAAATCTAACTAGTTGGTTAAAAATATCGAGAATAAAAAAAAATTATCAACTTAAGGGTAGACTAGTGGGCTATAACATATAGCCTAGTAGTAGCTCAACCAATCAGAACGCAGCATTGATAATGGACCACTAGTTGGATTTTACTAAATGTAGATACCCTCTAGTATCTGGTACATTGTAATGGTCAGTATTGTGTGGTTGAGATTGAACAAGATGTAGAAGAGTGAATTACAAATAAGCTTTTAGTTTGAGGAAAGTATTTCACCTACTAAGACGTTGTCTTTTGATGTACTGTACCAACAAGTATAAAAGGGTTGTACAATATAACCTATACTTAGTGGACAAATATGGGATCCTTCCTAATGTCTGTTAAAAAGCGGAATCTGTAGCTTGCAAGCAAACTCTCCCTTTTTTCAAAAGAATAAACACCAGTAAGGACAAAAATAAGTGCAGTATGTCGTACTAACAACAAAAATCTTTACTACAATGGTCGCAATGCTCTTAGAGCTGCATATATCCTGTGCAAGTAGCAGTTTACAAACCATTTAAACAGTATACAACATAGTGCTGCATAGCCTTCTATGTTTAGCTTTGCAATAGCTTTACAAAAGATGGCTTATTCACCAAAAAAAATTTAGATGTTTTTCGTTAAAAACTATACAACCTGTGTTAAACACGTTTTACATGCCAAAACTCTTATTCTTAAAATGCAAACTAGACTTTCTAGATAAGTTTCCAGTATATTGCGCAACTACTTAATATGTAGGCTATTTAGGTTCCTAAAACAGTTTCTTTTTTTTTGTAGGAGACAAATGGTCTTGACATCTTATTACACGCGGGCTTAGTAATAATAAGCAAATTTTATAACCAAGGCCCCGTCCACAAGTATTTTTTGAAAACGGAGATTTTTTTCTCCGTGTTCAAAAATATAGGCATCCTTACCCAGCGTAATCAAATCGTTTCGCTCGTCCACATGAAAACGCTAAAACGATGTAAATGAGGAACCCATAAAATGTGCCTAAAAATAAACAGGTCCGTAAAAATGCCGTGACATAGGCCTAGTATGGGAGTTGCTCGCTCTTAGTAAAGGACTCCTACACGATAGCACCCCCTACAGAGCATACGTCATGCTAGAAGTTATATGATGTGTGACATCATCGTATTATTCGAAAACCTCCGTTTTCGTCCGTCACACGTAAACGAAAAGCCGGAGTTTTCAAAAATCTCTACTCTGGAGAGGGTTTTGAAAAGATCCGTTTTCGGTGACCGTTTTCACCAGATACGTGTGAAGGGTGGGCCAAACCGGTGGGGGGATATCCGTTTTCAAACAAAAACGGACACGTATGGACGGGTGGGGCCTAATACCCTAAAGATCCGAAAATAATCCCCCGGGGCTTATATTTTTCAAAGGCCCTTTTTGATGGAGCTTATTTTTGGAGGGAAATTTGCGTTTCAAACTCGATTGGAAGGAAATTTACCGTTTTTCTTTGTTTTACTTTGTACTTGAGGGCAAGTTTGGGGGGTTTCTATTTGGAGGGGCTTATTTTCGGAATTTTACGGTAGTTTTTGGATTGAAAAACAGCGGCATTGAGCAGGACATCGTCAGATAAAGAATGACCTTTTTGTATTTTCCCTGAATTATTTTAAGCGAGAACCAGTCAAAGGTTTAGGGATCATCTGGTTCTTATAAAGTCGGGATCGAAATCACCAAATTTTAGCCTAACAGATTCTTGAAAGTTATTAATGGTATAAAAAGATTACTAACTGAAATTTAAAAATAATTTCGTGCTCAAAATGCCTGATTACTGGCTCCTGAGAGAATGAGCTCTCTCATGTTTTTCCCAAAAAAGTTGCATCGATAAAGAAACATAGTCTCTCATTCTCTCAGTCGTGGGAAGGTGTGTTGAGTGTTTTGTATCTCTTCCCTTCTCAACGCCCCCCATGCAGACTAAACTAAAGGCTGCAAGGGAGACTAAGAGAAAAAAGGGGGGAAAGAAATGAAAAGGATTCAAATGATATTTCACCTTAACAGTTTAACCTGAAACTCTGAGTTTTAGATGCTTAAAAAGTTACAATTTCATTAGCGCTACATCTAAACCCGCTAAATTTTTAGTAGACGAAAACCTTTAGACTGCTCCATTTGGCAAATGATTACAAAAACTATTTTATGAACCATATTATACTAAGTTAATTCGAGTAAATAAAGCATGAAAGGTTCAACAAAATGAGCAGAAGAAGAGTAATAATGAAATACAGGAAATGTGTTTCTTTGACGTCAGGTTGAGCAGTGTTCTCGATCCCTACTGTCTACATAGAAGGAATTGAAACAAAGAAAAGAAAAATGCTGTAAACTGTGAGAGTAGACAAACATCTAATGCCCCATTCACACCAAATAAACACGTTAAATTAAACCTGGTTTTAAGAAACATGGAAACAGGACAGGAAAATTGGAACACGGGGTTCAAATAAATTTTAACAGATCTTGTTATGTGCAAAAAATTTTCGACTGATAACATGGTCAGTATGCACGCAGTCATCATTCTGCTTGAAAGATTTGAAAATTATGGCTTGTCCCGAGTGTTGTCTGACCGCATGCCCTCCTTCGTATACGAAAGTACGCATGTCACATTGAGAGAAAAAGCAAACTAAAAAGATTTCAGCCCCCGAGTCAACAAAAGGCAAACGCCGCGACTGCGTTATCGGAAACGAGAACGTCGAAAATGCATATTTGGTCCAAAAAGCCTGATTGACAATCTTCTCCATCTCCTTGATCGCCAGAGTCGGGTTAAAATATGTACAGGACGGAATGGAATGATTACTATGAAAACATTAACTATTTAACCACTGTTATTCGTAGCGATCGATCTTGGCGACCACCCTTTTCGATCGCAGGCATCATATCAAAACCAGGCCTAGGTCTGTAAATTGGAGGGTCTGATCGTTTGATATTGTTAAGTAAGACAACACTTACCAATGGATTATCTTGATGTTGGTACCGGTCACCTCTCCCCAATGAACGAGTGTTTCGCAAACCACTACAAAAGAAAAGTTCCATTGAAAATAACTTAATACTTTTCGACGACATTACATCACACCTGAGAAGAGTCTTTTGAAAAACTTCTGTCAAGCAGTTTTGTGAATCTGTTCGGCTCAGACCTTAAACATTTTTTTCAAACTAGAATCCAATTTCAGATGAAAAACCTATGCCCACTTTACCAAAAACGGACTTGGGTTTCATTCGATCACATTTGTATTAGGTGCAATTCGAATGTTTCTAATCCGTCCTGGTAGTTTATGCAAGACCTTACATTATATTTGCTTTTCTCGCCTTTAGCTCGGTGAATATCAGCTTACCATACAACAAGGCGGGGCTCAGCAGGGGGATCAGTGCACTGACACACAGGCAGACCACGCTCCGAAAGTTGCCATTCTTCCTGCATGAAAAAGAAAAGTTTCAGTAATACACTGTAGTGTTTGACATTATTTCTATTCATCATGTGTAAAACTAGCTAAGCAATGTACCTGGACCTGGGGAAGGTTCTCTACCTCCTGTTCCACAGCGCCTGCATTAACCCTGTCAAAGAAAGGAAAATTAACTGGTAAATTAAAAATCAAATATTTTATTCAATTAGGTAGCACGGATGATGGTCTGCGGAGAATAAAGAAGTTAGATTTACGAATCTGTGGAACGAAGTAGGATCAGAAAAATTTAGGATACAGCTATACACATGACCAAAACACGTACAAGGTCTGACCGTACCTGCACACGAACGACTTTGAATAAAGTAGCGAAAACATGTTTTTCACGAGCCGAGCCGAGAAAATTGCTTAAAGGTCTCTATCAAGAATTTTGTGAAGCCTTCTAGTGCGCGGCCGAAATTTCCTCCTGTGTGCGAATGAACGGCGAAATGAACGGCCGTCCTGTGCGCCGATCCAATGCGAGCTCAACTGACAACACTTGCAAACTCATACAATTCTGAGTGATGAGAGAGCGGTAATGCTAATGAGCATGCATGTACCCACGGGTACGCTTATCGTTTTTTAATAACGGTTGATTGATCGATTGATTCACTTTTTTGAATACGGTTAATTACACAATTTCTTTACATGAAACAGTAAAGTAGGTGCTGTACACGTAAATACTTTAAAAATCAAAAAGTATAGACGATAAAATCTAGACAACAGTTGGCATGCCTACTGGCCAGTTTTCTTTAAAAAAATAGCTATTTAGATTCGGATGCCTTCGGATTGTACAACTGATTGTACTCTGCGTAACTCCACAGCATTCCCGAGTCCTCCAGCTACTGATATGAGAAAGACCCTCAATAATATTCTGTTTTTGTGCAACGTTATATTCTGTGTTTCTCAGCTTGAACTTTTTTCTCACGTGTATTTAAGAAAATATCACTTTAGCTGATAAATAGGCACATTATCATACATTAATACCATTGCCGCATTGATGCAAGTTCTTCCCAGTCTATTCTAATTTCCGCAGAACGCACATCGTAACCTTGGAAGGTTATTGTGCGTGCAGCACGATTTTGCAATTTGTAGAGTTTAGTAGCAA